AGTGGTGTAGGAAGGAATTGCAAAGTGGGGGTGCTTGGCTATATATAGTCATGCAGATTTTTCAATGAGAGAATTGAAAGTATAAGGACTTGTTAAAAACATACCATCCCAGAAAATTAATATAATAATAAAATTTACAGTTGCTATACAAGTCAAACATGTAAATGTGGTGCTGTTACAAACCCCTGGGTCGGATGCCTCTGTGTTCATTGTGCAATCTACAGCATCTGATTACAAGGTTGAAAACTTTTAGAAGTAATCAAATTGCATCTATTTTTTAATGCACCAAAAGTCAATAATGGTTTATTAACAAAATTTATAATGATCATTGTGGACTAGCACAGCAGTGAAAGATATATCTTACAGAATTGATTCACCAATAATTTGTGTGTGAAGGGATGTCTGGGTAAAGTATCAACCTGTTTAATAACGTTCAGTGTTGTCTAAAAAGAACCACACAGATAAAGGCTTATTTTGAAACTACTTAGTTTAAAACAAAGTGCTAAATATCAAAGCTGAAGTTTGCTTTTAAAAATTAATTTTAATTACTGAATATTCTAAATAATGTTTTCAGTAAGAACTGGAAATTGTGGTGTTTCAATAAGATATCTCTGCTAAATTTTATTTGCATGCATAATTTCCTGCTTATGTAGATTTACCTATTTTATTTCTACACATAATTTCCTGTGTTATCTAGGTTGTACCTATTTATATTTCCATACACAATTTCCTGTTATCTATGTTGTACATATTTTTATTTTCATACATAATTTCCTGTGTTATCTAGGCTGTACATATTTTTATTTTCATACATAATTTCCTGTGTTATCTAGGTTGTACATATTTTTATTTTCATACATAATTTCCTGTGTTATCTAGGTTGTACATATTTTGTTATCATACATAATTTCCTGTGTTATCTAGGTTGTACATATTTCTATTTTCATACATAATTTCCTGCGTTATCTAGGTTGTACATATTTTTATTTTCATACATAAGTTCCCGTGTTATCTAGGTTGTACCTATTTTCATTTCCATACTTAATTTCCTGTGTTATCTAGGTTGAACCTATTTTTATTTCCATACTTAATTTCCTGTGTTATGTAGGTTGTACCTATTTCAATACATAATTTCCTGTGTTATCTAGGTTGTACCTATTTCAATACATAATTTCCTGTGTTATCTAGGTTGTACCTATTTCAATACATAATTTCCTGTGCTATGTAGGTTGTACCATTAATGGTATTTCTGTTTGAATAGGAAACAGGCTCAATATAAACTTGTGTGTGAGTTGCAGAGTATTAAATAATCAAGAAACTTAAGATATTGTAATTATAACTGAATCATTTTAGTACTTTGTTTATGAACTGTTAACATGCCATATTAGTAAGCAGTTTAAAAGTTGAATCAGTTTTTTACAAACACCGTTCCATTTATATGAGACCTTAAAAAGACAGATTTTAATGTACCTATTATTTTTCTTTACATGTATTAAAGTTTTGATAATACAGTCATGAAAACTTGCTAGGCTTAAAAGAAAGCTAGTGAAAGGATCCCCACAGTGAGGGGCAGAGCCTGTCAAGATCCTTGACCACTGGTATTCTCTGCCACTCATAGACCTACACATGAAAATGCAAGTTCAGAAGCAGGTTACTGAAGGGCTGGATGCTATCAACAAGAGCAGTCTACCAGAACAACATCAGATCTGATGTTTTCAGTTTACCCTGCTTCTCTGGCCTTTGCAAATATACGAGATAGCTTTCTTTTGAGTTGAAGCTTGGTGTGTCTATAACCCTTATAACCAACCCAAAATCACCCTATACAGTTCCTCTACAAAAGTGCAGCTGCTAATGAAACCTCTACTGGATGAGTACAAAATGAATTAAAGATGCCAATGTTTGTGGGTGAATGCAATTTCTCCACCAAGCAATCCCAACCATGGCCAATTTTGACTCCACAAAAATCGTGAAAAACACAGAAAATCGAAAACTGTCTATATAACTGCTTGAAACCTGCAAGAAGATATCTTTGTACTAAATCTCATGTAAATTGGCTGAAACACAGCAGTGTAATTATAAAAAAACAAATAAAATTATGCTTTTTATGGCATATTGACCCTCCCTATAATTTCTAAGAATGGGCAAGTCCACCACTTTTGTTTTTCAATGTTTGAGACCTGTAGAAAAGTATCTTTGTACCAAATTTATCGAAATATGGCTGAGTAATTGATCAAAACTCCCAAAATTATGCCTTTTTGTGAGCTCTGCTCCACTGAGAAAACACTCCAACTGAGCATATCTAACTTTTTTTGTATGTTAACGTGTTGGACACATGAAAATTTATATTTGTGCCAATTTTCATCTTAATTGCTGTAAATGTGACCGCACAGGAGCCCAAAATATACATTTTTGGGTTGTTTGATCTTTCACCCCATAAAATCCTTAAAAAGACTTAAATAAAAAAAAATTAAAAGGTGCCTTGGCATATTGGATCAAGGTATAACCCTACCAAGCATCAAGTCAATTCACAGAGAAATGATGGAATGGTGGTCGATTGAAAAGTCTGGAAGAAGAAGAAAACATAGAAAAATAGTATGTCTCTCTGTGGAGACATAATAAGAATAGGGTTATATATAATATTGTTCTACTCTTCTGGTTCAGTTGACAAGGACGTACAGCCAGATGGTTGCACTGGCCCCAAGTAGAAGGTTGTAGAGGCAGCTGAGAAGGTAGAGTAGGTTGTACTTGAAGAAGACTGTCAATGCTGTGCAACAGAACAGGAGGGGTATTAACTGATAGTAAAACCACTAGTGGTTCAAGCAAGACAAGAGCAGAAGACATAAGCTGATGACGGAAGAACTTTGGATGGTTTAGGAGGAGAAAAGGATGGCTCAAGCAATCTCCCAGCCACAGCAAGGGTGGGAGTGGACAAAATAAGAAATGGCAGTTGAGACAGATGTGAGCTGGTCTGCACAGATTGGTGTATAATCTTCTGCCCACACTGGCAAACCTCCAGAAGTGGAAGATGGCTGAATTAGATGCTTGTGTCTTGTGTGCACCCTGGAACATATCCTGGGAGCTTTTGAACTCATTATGCAGCAGTACACTTGGAGACACAACCAAGTGCTATGTGCACTGGAAAGTCAATAAAGATGGACTACCAAAGAAACAGTTTATACAGATTGTGAAGTAAGAGCAGCCCAGAGAGCACCAGTAGCCAAGCACTCCCATTATGCTCCTTCAGCCAAGTGAAGAGTGGCAGTTAAAGGCCAACTTTAAAAAATCCCTAGTCTTCCCAAGCACAATTTCTCTCACCATGCAGCACCCTGACATGGTGTTATGGTCAGAATTAAGAAGAAAAGTACTCACAGCAAAGTTGGCAGTGCACTAGCAGGTGAACCTAGAGTGGACTTATGATAGGAAGTTGACAAGCTACAATGGTCTGCAAAATCAGTGTGAGAATGGGGATTGGAATTGTCATGTTTTACCAATTTAGGATGGGTGTAGGGGGGTTTGCAACTCAATCCATGGTCAGTTTACTGAAAAAACCTGGGGATCATGACACAAGAAAGAATGATGTACAGGAAGCAACTGAATCTGCATCATCATAGATCTGTCAGAAGAGCAATAAGACAAAGCTGACAATGTCCAATGCCCCTGGTGGCACCCTTGTAGATACCGCTGAGATTGCTCTACTGAGTGTTATCGTAGTGTAAATTGATGAAAGAATAACAGCTGAAAGGGGAGAGATATCAAGTATACTTTATTTAAATGCTGCAATATGTGCAAAAAAAAAGAGTAAATTTGCAATTATTGGACTTACCTTAAAAATTCTTTAGAGACAAAACTTGATTCCTCTGTGTATATACACTTTCAAAAAAGTGAAACATTATGACAAATACAATATTTTTGTAATTATTTAATTTAATTTTTGTGAAGAAACATTTTAATGGTTTTGAAACTGATCTAGATTTAACCACGAATATGAAAACTTATATAATGAACAGTTTTTAATTCATACAGATTTTCAAATAGTTCAATTCTAAATTATTCAAGATTATATCTCAGATGAAATAACAGAAAAAAAAATTGACAACTACCATGATATATTACCAATTCTTTCTAGCAAGGTCTTCTTCACAAATCTATTACATTGTTTTCCACCCTTTTTGTCGAGTATGCTTTACAAACCAAAGGTTTTATAAAAAAGTCAAAGTGCATTTGCATGGTAAAAAAAAACAAAAAAAACAACATGTTTCTAGAATTTTTTTCTTATATTCTAATTCTATTATTGGCACCAGTATTTCCAAATATACATAATATATATATTTAGGTTCAAAAAGCAACACTGATATAATTAGTCAAATTATATGAAAACTTTTTTTTTATAACTTCTTTGGTTCCCTTTGTGTCTCTTTGAAGTCACTAATGGTATATCCTAGTGAGAACAGAAGAAAACAAATAGGTAAGCATTTACAATTCACTTCTGCCACAAACTACAACTTATTACAAAAACAAGTTTCACGCAGTGACTATTAAAATAAGGTTCCATAAAAGTAACCATTAGATTAAGTTTTACAATGAATAGTGATGTTCATGAAAACTGGAATTTTTTTTAACTACTCTCAACTTTCAACTAAATTCACCAAAAATATCATAGTAAATATATACAGGGTAAATAAAAACAAAGAAGGCAGGAACTTTTAAGGTAAACAAAGATATCCATTAATATAAGAAAAAATAACATACACTACTCACAAAAATTAAAGGACAATGATGTTTTGATGTGTTTTGTTTTTCAAGATGTGAAGAATAAAATCCACAGAGATGTTCAATATTGATGAAACTTGTTTCTTACAAATATCACGTTTAAACAATACCAAGCAAGTTAAAAATTCATTTACAAATAACAAAAAAGCAAACTTAGTGAAAAATGCCAATATTTGGCTGCCCGGGTATTTAAGAACATGTTATATATTAAGATGAACAAACTTAATAAAATGAGTCTTTAGCAGCTGGTAGGTTCTCTATTGTTTATGACTTCTCTGCACCTATTCCCATACAGCTGATGACATTTAAGATGATTTGCTGGGGCAGCACAGTCTACTCTTGGACGAGGACAGCTCTGAGTTCCTGGACAGTCATAGGAGCAGGTTGTCTGTCTGTAATTGCTCTCCATAGCATGACCCCATATGCTGAATCAAGTCTAGTGACTTAGCAGGTCAGTCCGGTGTCTATATTCCTTCATCCTGAAAATTTGCTGCATGATCCTGGTGGTGTGAGGACAGGCATTATCCTACCGACACAAAAACTCATTCCTGACAGCACCAGCAAAAGGGTAAACAAAGGGTACCAGGATCTCATCCATGTAACGTTTTGCAGTCAGGGATCCTCCATCCACCAGATAGAGGTCTGTACGACCCTGCATGCAGATGCCACTCCAAATCATAATTGAGCCACTTTAAAAGGCATCATGGTGGACAATGCTACATGCCAAATATCGCTCCCCTTCACATCTCCAGACCCTCTCATATTAATCACTTGGAGATACACAGAACTTGCTCTCATCTGTACAGTACAGTACTGTGGCACCTTGGGGTTAGTACAAGGGTTCTAAATGGTATCCTGGACCTGAGCTAAAATTGATGGAGCCTGTTCCTGGCCATTAACCCCTTCAAGACGGGTCACAGTGAAAGGCCATGTCATCTCACTTGTTGACTTGCATTCAACATTTTCTTGAACTACTGTTTCATGAATTTATGTCAGTGAGATTGGTATCAAACTGTAGATTATAATTCAAATTTTAGTAAAATATATTACTCAATTTCTTAATTTAAAAGTAAATATTAAAAAACAGATAAACAAAACATCGATTTTTGTGTGTCATGTGGTAAGTTGAATGCAGCATTGGTTCAAAGTAGATGTTTGTGAAGTCAAAATACCAAGTCTAAAGTTTCGTATGAATTAGAAACTCAAATTACCGATATTGACAAGCCAGAATATGAAACAAAAATGTCTTATATTTTCTATTTGCTAAGATATTGCTCATATAATAAATCAAACACAGTGGCACCCTGCCCATCTCTTGCTATTTTTGGAAACGCCCATTATATACACTTACTTCTATATATCACATGAATAACCAATCAGAAGCTCAGAATATCCCCCTAGTGGCTTT